AAAAAACATACTACTGCTACTATTAGTATTCTTCGCAAATTTTTTTTCTGTTCGTTACAAATGTTATCAACTGAAAAACATGCGTGCGCAACTCAACTTTTTTATTTTCCATTCCCTCACATTAAAAAAATCTTCTAAATTGGGACGTCATGCCGTGAAAAATCTTAACAGACATACGCCAAATCGAGATTTCACCAATATATAGGTCGCGTGATAGGACTGGATCGAGGGAATTGACTGTCAAGAATAGTGTGCTGTTAGAAATGCAATGCTTATTTTGGTTTTATCTTATTATAAATTCATAGTGTGAATAATTTTATTGCGTGCTGAATCGTCGAATCATCCGACTCCCACTTTTCATTAAAAATAACAGTCATCGGCCAATGTTGCTGGCAAAATTGGATTGTCGATATAGAACCAAATCAAGTTTTATTTTGACGACTAGCCGACGATCAACATTCCTGATCGTTCAACCATGTTTCTATTTAATCGCTCAGCCAAAAATAGCTATTTATTCGACGATTGACGATTCGACAATTGTATGGAAACCAGGCTTAATTTATGTCATTCTATTTACAACTAAGATGATAAAATTTCTAGATCCCCCCTGATACAAACAGTTAAGTTATCCTTTTATAAACAATGCGAAGGATGCAAATTACATACGTACAAAGGGCATGCATAGCTACTCTGAATTATATTGTTTTAAATTCCTATACGAAAGCAAGAAAAACTTTACATATTTCCCTCTTGTTGTTTACAAAATCTTATAGCTTTCCTTCCTTAAAAGAATTTACCAATGCAATTTAGCATTTGTGAGAATTTTGCTCTCATAATCCTTCTAATGACACCTGCTAATAATCGTGTGTGTTCTGAAATTTTCTCTATTAATTTTGAAAAAATAGCTACATTCAATTTTTTCTTTAAACCTACAAAATTTATCGTGAAAGACGACTTTTTTATTCTTCATTAGAAATTTATGTAATTTCAATCTGGTGTCATTTTCTTTGGCACTATAGAAAATCTGCAACAGTTGGCAATATGAACCAACTTTCAAAAAATTTCGGTCTGTTTAACATAACTATATGTGCACCAAAATGTTGTCAAATTCATGCACTGCACAGCGCAATTCACGCGAAAATATACAAACATGGAATTATCTTGTGAGTGTAGCTATTCGCTACGGATGTGGGTAATTAACCTTTCAAGTGGCCGTGTAAAAGATCTGCAACATTCAAAGAACAGAATGAGAACTAAATTTTAAAAAAATTCGCCAACAAAACGATTCTTATAAAACTACTTTTGGCTTCTATCTGTTTTTATCAATTAGATAGCCCGATCCAAACAAGCGAGGAATGTTTCTTGAGTAAGATAACCACATTCATTCATTTCGCGACATTCCCCACATGCTTGGATCATCATCCTAAACAGAAATTGTTTCATCACCAGGGCACAAGTGTACGCTGGCGTCGTGTTTATTCATAAATGACAATTAACAAAAATTTCATACCTTTAGAACATTCAACCCCAGCAGTCCTGCGTTGACTACATTGGCTAATTTTCCATGCTTTGAATGAGCAATTGAAAATAGTTGATTCTCTTCCACTACAGTAAACATTATCTAACCATGTCGTTCTACCAGAATAAGGATCAGATTCTTCTCTTAACGCTTTGTATGCACTTGCGTAACCAAGTTGATGACAAACAACCTCAGCATCTTTCAAGTCCCAGTTCGTATCACAAATTGTTCCCCATTTACCATTATGTAGTACCTCGACACGACCAGTTCCATGAATAGCCTTTTGTCCTTGAAGCTTTATGGCATGAATCTGTACTGTAGAAAGAATATAGAGCCGAATAGCAATTTCATAACATAGAAAAAGTCTATCCCTGCAAGATTTCTTTTCATACTTACTGGAACAAAATGATCCATTTCCAAAATATCCATCATTGCAAAAGCATGAGTATGATCCCTCAGTGTTTAAACAGGTGGCATTTTGATGACAATTATTCAAGAAAGGTGAGCATTCATTGATGTCTTGAAAGGAATAAAAGCAATTTTAAAACTATGATTTCTGTTAAAAATAATATATATATATTATGGAGTACAATTAAACATTCACCAAATGTAAAAAATTCACGAAGAAAAAGCAAAGGAAAGTATTATTGTCAATTATAAGAATAATGTGAGTTTGGTTTTAAACGTGCTTCTGAAATCATTACTAAGGAAGCTATTTTGTTTTTGCGAGTGGAATTAAGATAATAAGTCTTGTCTCTCGCATTTTAGAGTGAGTTTGATGGCATCATCATTTACGACTGCCAAAGAGCATTTTGATAAACACACAAGACAATAGACACTCCGTATATAGTAAACATTATTTAATCTAAATGTTTTCACAAGTATCACATATCATCTAAATAGAAAAAGTTTGTTTTTTAAAGCTACAAATAACAAATAAGATCATGATTAAACGTTCGTTCAGGTCATTTAAACTAAATTGATAAATAATTAAATTGATAAATAATAATTGCTTAGATAATATGACAGGCCTCTTTGAACAATAATTATGACCAATTGTTGAAACAATCAATAATTTTACAGTTTTGAAAAATTATATCAGCTAAACTAAAAGAATAATATAAATTTAGTAGATTAGCAGGCCAAGATGCATTGCGCGTTGATTACGGCGTTGCGGTTATTTTCTACGTAGCGAAAGGGGCGGCTTATGTTATTATTTGTTGTCCATGGAACTTTGACCAACCAACAACTTTAAAATAAAATTTTTTAATTAATTTTAAAAATTTTGATTCGAAATGGCGTCGTTTCCTAAGCGTGGAAGGCCAAAATGGAAAGTTGAACAACACCGGATTCGTTTCCAGAATGAATTATACCATGTGTGTATAAGGCAAAAAGAGTTAAATAGAATGGTACAACAGACAGATAGTGAATTTGCTGCCCTATTTGCTTCAAATTTTGAATGATAAGAAAAACGTAGCTATAGTCTTACGTCTATAATTTACAACTAAAAAACAAGTAAATCGCCATTAAAAAATAACAACGTCGAGTTTTACATACAATAACTATATTTTCCAAGCATTTTAATATAAATAAGTTCTGCAAAATGAAATTTACTTGTTTTTGTTTGCGTTTCGAAGTTTGTACCAACTCAGCACTCGTAATTACAGTCACTTTTGTAAATTATGATTTTTTGCTGAATTTTTCCAGCTAAATTAGATGACGTATACTCGCGAACTAGGATTCAGTGTACCGATGGCTCAAAAGCGCGCAATGTATCGTGGTTGACGCGCATTCTTTAAGTAAAGAAAGGCAGCATTACAGAGTCGAGTGACTCGAGTGCAAATCTTTAGACAGTGTAAGACATGGCTTTTTTAAAAGTCTTACGTTGGGGTATTATTTTCGTATTGAAAATTCGCCCTCAAATCTATTCCAACGATTTTGAATAAGCCCAAGCCAAACTTTTTGCAAAAATAATGCAAAATTTTTTTTGCAAACGAGAAATTCAAACGTGTTTCGAGAAGTGCATGCAATAGCCGAGATTTACGTACCATTGTCGCGAAATGTACGTAGTTATTGAGTAGTGCACGCAATGATCAAGAAACACACACAACTGTTGAGAAACGCGAGCAATGGTGGAGAAATGCACGTAGTGGTCGAGTTTTTTGCTTGTTTGGTTCGTCAGCGGTTAGCAGTTTAAATCAGAAATTATTGGCTCTGTTGACTCCATGTTGAGTCTTTTCTCGCCTTGCAGTCATTTGCAGTTTAACAAAACAATTCATATTCATTAACGAAAAACGGGACATTTTTCTTTTACTAAGAATAATGGGTGACAAGGTAAGTGAATTAGAGGGCTTTCTTCACACTATCAACGATTTGTTAAAGATTTGTAGGTTAATTTTGATGACCAAAATTATGTGAGAGAAGAACATTGCATAATTAAAATGAAGAATCGTACAGAAATATTACTTGCTATAGAAGTTGCTGTAGCAAAAAATACGGGTTAAAACTCAAGACTAAGCTTATTGCTAGAAAATCTAGTCGATATATTATATAAGTGTTTCAAGATTTCCTGTTGGAGAAGTGGGGTACTTTTTATTGTGTCTTCCAAGTAATGGAGGAAGACCAGCGTATAACATAACTAGGTCTCAAATAGAGCACTTAAGAGAAACAGGACTATCCTGCTGCAAAATTGCAGAATTTCTGGGTATTTCAGAACGAGCCCTGCAAAGAATAAGAACAGATTTCAAAATTGGAGAAACTTTCTCTGAAATATTGGACAATGATTTGGACACATAGGTAGGAGAAAATCTCCAACTTACACCTTACAGTGGCGTGTCATCATGGCTTACTCAAATTTACACGGCCTGATATCTTGCCATAGCAAGGCCAAAAATGCAAGGCCATTAAGGCATTCACGATTTCTAAATGATTTCAACTTCTTCCACTTATATGCGAAATCGGATTGGAGTATATACTAGAGATCAAGTGTCTCAGAGACAAACAAGACATTTGCATGCTGAAATTGAAACAAAAACTCGAGTTGAAAGTAGATGCCTTTTAAAAAACGCCGTCTCGGTTAATATAAATAAAATTACATCAATTGCCTTTGGAACGCTTGCTTTGCTTTAGTGCAACAACTCGGTCTTTGACAACAGTCTCTGTTCGCCTTTTCCTCTGATTGTTGAGAAAGACGTTACAAATAATTCTTATTGCCCGGTTATTGACGATATCTTCGTGCTGTTCGCAGACAAACCCTTCGTTACACAAAACGGTTTTTAAAGATCCTCCGCAACAAATCGCGATGGCAAGCTAGAGTCTTGAATAATATTTGCTGCTGCATTCAATACAGCAAATCCATGAGCAACAAAATTACCCAACGCAGCAGATGGTTCCTTCAATCCGCCACGAGAAAGTAACTGCATATATGGCGAAACACCATTATTGGTCAGTAGTTGCTCACAGCAACTATCGAAAAGCTTAATCAGCTTTTTTGTAATGTACCCAGCAACGTTATTAAAAATTCCTTAGAAGCATCCGTCAAACATATCCTATTAGACTCAGATATGATTGGCTGCACGGAGTCTCTAAATTCTGCTACTTTTTCCGGTGATTTTTCATCGGTGACTTTGACCCGATCATCAATGTCCATTCCTTCCTTCACAAGGCTTTTTATTTTTAGAACCTTTTCTGAGAACACCATATCTTTTAAGCCGACAAAAAAACGACCACCACTCATTTGGCGGTACTGACCATACCGTTTTTCCAAAGGATCACACTGGAAGCGCGAAGTCAGCACATATGAATAACCCTCACTTAAAAGTTCTTCAATTAAAGCAGCATGGCAGCGAAGGGTGCATCGAAGCGCATGACTAGTTTGAACAGTAAGATTGAATTTGTCGCAATTCGACAATTTAAGGTCATCCCACTCGTCAATCCATTCTGCAAAGGCTCTCAAGAATTCGGGTTTTTGGTCATTGAAAACTGCAGCATTCTCAAGGCGATTAGAGGTGTTAATCGGGATTTTGAATTTGAATTTGTCTATCAAACATCAACAAGGTGCAGGAAACGTGCAGTATGTCGGCTTTGTCATGAAAATAATGTCTTATGCCGGTAGCAGTTGAACGTGAAAAAATGGCTAAAGCTACGGGTACATTCTGCTTACAATTTCCCGGGTGTAAAACCTTCGCACTAAGTTCAGGCGCTGCCCTTAAATTTGCCTCAAGTTTCTGATCTTTCTCGTACACCTCATGAAGTAACCGCCACAAAATCTCTCCTCCGCTTACTGAAATAAGGTAATAAAACCCAGTAAAATTGAAAGTATGAAAAAGAAACCTTTTACTATTCAGCAAATTATTTCTGATGTTCTTCACCAGGTGAACAGAAACGATTCATGAAAAAATTCCTGCCTGTCATGCTCTATTTTTAGATTTGAGAAAAAAAGTTGCTGACTCATCGAGCATTCAATGGCCTTGCATTTTTGGCCTTGCTATGGCAAGATATCAGGCCGTGTAAGTTTGAGTAGGCCATGGTGTCATATGTTATGGGTTGACTGAAAGGAAGGGGCATAAATGTTCAAAGACGTAGAATTAGAGCAAGCTTTATTGGAAGCTTTATTGCGGGTAGAAGTGTCCACAATCAGCGCAACGATCGTTTATGGGCTGAAGTAAATTTGGTAATGACAGCCTAATACAAAGATTTATGTTTCTTGAGAGAAGTGCCATTATAGATTCTCTAATTGAAATTCACCTCTACGTACTTCACTAACTATTCCTGCCTAGAATCAATCATTGATGAATTTCGTAGAATATGGATCATCATGGGTTAAGAGCAAGTAATCATGCATGAATCACCTTTAGCAATTTAGCATACTAATGTGATTACTGCTCCCGATGATTTATCCATAATCAATTGGAAAACTTATGCAATGGATATTAATGGTGGTGAATCTATCCTGATTGTTACCAGAATTAACGTAGTTGTGCCCAACTCGGATGTTTTTCTCGTGGATGAACAGCTTTCTTATCTGCGACCTTAACCCTTTGCTTGATCATAGTAATAATGGCATTGAACACTTTTTAAGAACTGTGGAAATTATTAAAATGTTTTTCAACGAAAGACAAATGTAAATCAGTAGTAAAAAGAATAAAATTTTATTATTGTAAAACTAATCTATTAATTGAATGAAAGTTAACTGCTAATTGATACAGAAATGTGAAATGTGTTTCCAAAATTTTCACTCTGACTTAGCCTAGGTTTTATTGCATTTGATAATTCTGTTTTTCTGGAATACAGTTCCCTGATAACATCTCCACTCTGGCTTATATTTCTATTGGTTTCAGTCATTTGGAGATCTACAGTTTAGATTGTAAATTACGCAGATGAGCTAAATAGAAACAACAACAGATAAAAACGTGCAGTCGTGCTGTCACGTGCACGTTAAACCAATAATTTCCGATATTAACCTGCCAACCGCTGACTAACCGAACAAACAAAATCTCGACCATAGCGTGCATTTATTAACCATTGCTCGCGTTTCTCGACAGCTGTACGCGTTTTTTTATTATTAGGTGCATTACTCAATAACTGCGCGCATTTCTTGATTGTAGTGTTCGCGACTTTTGCGTATTGAATAGACTTTTCTCCACAATTGTACGTAAATCTCGACTACTGCATGCACTTCTCGAAAACTTTTGCATTTTTCTATACACTTTTGTCCAGTTTGGCTTGCCATACAAAAATAATTAAGCACTTGAAGCGTTCAGGAAATTCTAGCGTCTTGAACTCAAGTTTGGAAAAGCCAAACTCGACCTAGAGTTTCTTATAACGTTTAAGAAGCGCTCGATAATCCACAATTCATATGGTTTAAGGTTGCTAATCACAGATTGCGATCTTCTAGCGCCTATCGACACTGTCAACATAGTTGTTACAAGAAGAAATAAACACAAAGCACGCTTGGATACGAATACTATCATCACAAGCTACGACTGCACATTCCAGACTGGCGTATTTGCTTCTAACCTCGACTTCATTCACCTAAAACACGTTTCTGATCGTGAGAACTCAAAAAAACTAAGCCAACAACAATGCAAACAAGACAGCAAAATTTTTCGCCTTACCACTGGACAGACCAACACAAACCCAATCAACCCTGACGACGTGGTTTTCAATTTTTCAAATCGTTTATCACCTAAAAAAGAAGAAATCCTTTCGAAGGGCCTCAACTTTGCTGTCTCACCTATCAAACTGAACTCGTGCACTTTCCTTACACCATTTGAGAAGTTTTACAATCGCCTTCAACATGAACCCCTCCATACATCCTTTGGCTTTTTTCCTGACTCGATTAAAGCTAAACTAAAACACTTAGCTTACTTGGGTTTTGCAGTTACAGTCGACCAAATGCCTTATACACAGAGAATGAATTAACGTGTTAAATGACCTGAGAAATGATAATAAACATCGTCATTCTGAAACCGGATAAAGGCAATGGAGTTGTTATTTTGAATAAAGACGACTACTAGAAAAAGATGACTGAAACTTTAGCCGACACATCAAAATTCCAACTTATAAAATGATCATGATGCTATCAAACTCACTCTGAAACGCGAGAGTCAGGAAAAGGCGTTGCTGAGAATACTAAAGGCAAATAAGTTTTGTATTGTTATCTACATACAAATGTCAAAGTATAAAGCTGTGTACTACAAAGCACAAAAAGTAGTGGAAAGAAGCTTGAATTCAAGTTTTATTGATTTCCAACAGGGGTGGATCTAGGACTTTTGAAACATGAGTCAAGAAACAATTCTTCTTCGAAAGGATTTTCTTAAAATCAACTGATCAAAGAAAGAGTTTGTGCTGGATCATTGTGAGAAATTAAGCAGTAACATATTTTACCTATTTTTTTAAAAACATAAGTAAAAAACAAATATGATTACTGGCCTCCACAGAGAAGGTATTTGCTATCGACAACTTTTTATATCCGACAATAAAATGTTGTCGATCACATTTTTTGGTCTAATGAAATGTTTTCACTTTGGTAGACTGCTGTCGAATGCAATTTTATATTCAACGAAGGCTTGGATACTAGTTCTCTTAGCACATGCTCTACAATTCAAGATGTCTACCAGCTGCAACTCGAGCACCCAAAGTGTATGTGGTTACGTCACTGAAATGATGGAAAACAAGTTTTCATTAGCCGAAAAACTGACCTGATACATATAATTCGCCATAAAGAGTTTACGTACGCTGTTAGTGAGCCTGAAGAGCCAGTGCTTGTTAATCGATAACGAAATCGATATCAAATAAAGAGAAGGCAGCGCTTTACAAATGTGTATTAGATGAGCTTGTAAAGAGAGGTTATGACGCTAGAGCGGCTAAAGGAATTAATAGGATGGGGAACATGTGAAGACAAACGACATTTTAAAAACAAAATAAGGAGTGAAAGCCATTAAAAATAGTCCTACTATTTTAGATGCCATGAAAAGGTGTGAAATAGAAACCATAATTTAACAGTAGCAATTGAAGACTTGTTTGTTGATAAAGGAATTCGAAATCTTCCCTTCAGTAACCTAATGTCTGTTCCGCTATCATTTTAGTTCTTGGATGCTGGTAGTTGTATTAGGCCTAAGCATCTGTGAGCTTATTGCGGGTGTAGGGTTTCATCGATCGGTATTTTAGTGGAGATGCTGAATCACCAATTTCAAGTTAGGAAGCATGAACACCCTCGATAATTCCTCCTCATTGTGGGAAAACGTTTTCGCTGTTTTGCCAAAGAATGCTTTTTCACGATAGTTTAATCATGGAAATTTCCAGCATGGCCTATTATTGCCGCCAAATTACGGTAGCCTCCATGGGCTACAATTTGTAACACAAAAGAGTAAAACCCTTTAAGACACCAAAGCCACTTTCTTCCACCAAACGATCCACGTATATACGGATGTGTGTTCTATCTCTTGCCCTATTCACATAAGAAATCCACGCCCTCTTTCAAAAAGATTGGATTGTCTTATGACATTTTATGGGTGGGAGGTGCCAAATATTTAGGGCCGAACTCTTCACATATTGTTTGAGCTCTTTCAAGACAAGCCTCTGTACACGTAGACCCGCCTACTCTAAACAACCAAGAGATTGTACAAGTAGAACGCCACTGCCATATCTCATAAATGCCATTCCTACTCTCTCATCTACAGGTATCGAAGATCTCAACAATTAATAAAAAAAGGTTTGTTTATCAACGCGAAGATTCGAAATTGCTTTGTTTGTCCAGGTTTGTCGGCAAGTTTGCCGGAATGCACAGGAACTAACTTTTTGCCAAATGATCCGGTGAATACATTACGACATGGAGGCGTAGCCAGCCCACATATTTTGGTCCTGCTATGTAAATTTTTGATCATTAACATTATTTCTTTTTTATTTAGTAGTCCAAAGCGATATTATTTCATTTACAGCAATTTAAATGGCTGCCTGATTGGGAAGCTTCTTAAGATATCTGCCCGTGTGCAAAAGTGATTTTTTTTGCAATGTATTTGTTTACGAAGTGAAATGTAAATTTTTAAAACTTATTAAAAATCGATGTAAATTGGTGAACGACTGGGCAAAGTTTATTCAGATGAAAGTTATTATAGCAAGAGTGAATTTTACTATCAAGATGGAGCAAGATTTGTAGAAAACAGTCCATTTGTAGTCTCAAATACTTAAAAATGATATGAAAGCGTTATAAATTGTTCAATGACAAAGCAAAGTGCATTTAGATAAAAGTTGTAATGGCAAGGATAAATTTTACTATTTTACAAGGATAAATTTTAAAGAAAACAATCCAATTTTATACTCAACAACAAGTTGCATCGAGCCATGGATCGGCCATTTTACAACGCGAATTTCGTCATATAAAAGTAAAAAAATAAATATGTTATATACTATTTAGTTCGGTCCGTACTTAAAAATATTTTCGGTACGGTCCTCCAAGCCGGTAAGTGACATATATTTATTTCTTTAGAAATCTATTCTTTTTACATTGAGTAATTAAACACAAAAACTTAACATAGCAGGACCAAATTCGAGAGTTAGCTACGCCCCTGTCCTGACAAAAGTCCTTGTTCTAAAAGTTGAGGTTGAAATATGGCAGCAGAATAAACGGCTATGTAATCATCACTTTCATCAATTCATAAAAGTGAATGTTGTTGAAAAGGATTGAAATTTTTTATTGCGACTAGTTTGTCCGTTATGTTTGTTTTTAATTATATCCACTGACCAGAGAGAATGCACATTGCTATAATTGTCGACAACTAA